TTTTATATATATATATATATATATATATATATATATATATATATTTCTACGCCATTTTGAGGACAATGGTTATGGAAAAATTTGTTTTCCTCGTTTATCAATCAAAGCTTTGTGAACACTGGGATTAGAAGATACAAGCTTAGCATGATATCTTTGTGCGTATTCACATTTAGCTTTAGGCGAGTTAGACATTTACGCTTTCGTAATGTTGATTTCTCAGACAGCAATTTTGGTACTTCGAAAATCTCAAAATCACGCAAATGATCATAGCGTAGCATTTTATTCTCATAATCTGCCATTAACAATGTCTGTATTTGCATATCTATGTAAGCCATTGCGTGGATATTAATAAGTTCACATGTGACATTCACATTGATTGAGGCCCGATAATTTTATTTATACTTGTATATGATTTTATTTGCAAATTATTGCGACGTAAAGTAGGTTTAATCTTTCATTATAAAAGCGATTATATAATTTGTCAGCACGTACTATTTTATAGCATACATAGCTTGGCATATTTATTTTTACTTTATATAATATAGGAGGATATTGGAGTTAGTTAAGTGGCAAATATAATATAATATTTATATAATATTATCTTTATAATATTTTCGTATGTTGAATCGGAAATGTTAAGTACGTTCGTATCTCCAGAGAAAATCTGTTTAGAGTCCAGATAAAAATATTGTGAGTAAATATTGCTCGCGAATTTATAGATAGCGATATTTATATGAATATGTTAAACTTGTTATATATTATTTTAATAGAGAGATACGTATGACTAGTTATTTCTCTCTGCACAAAATTAACAATTTTCTGAAAGCAACTTGCAGAATAAGAATATACATATGTATTTGAAAAGAGAGCATCATGGACAACTGTATGACAAAAATACATTTTTGAAAAATATTCTCACAGATTGTCGAATATACATGAAATATTTTTGAGTTTTCTAGCACTTGTTTTATTGTTTTTTTCTTGAAATATGCAGAGCACTTTCAATATTTTCTAATTTACAGAAAATGAATGTAATACGAACGGAAATGTCGTACGATGAAATATGATAAATGTGTATTAGCGTTAAAAAAAATCGATGAGAAACACTATTGCCTTAAGACATAGACATGCATGTTCTGAAATTAAATATATGAATTATACGCAATGCATAAGCTGTGTAACAGCTGCTCGTAACCTAACACACTTTCAAGAAGTCCAATGAATAGAATCCGAAGAAAAATATTTTTCCTTAGGAACTACTTTTGCATTATAAACCGTCTTCTAGTCTAACATGAATGTTGTAATATATAGGGTGTCTCATAACTAGAATAATTTTACATAATAAATAAATTGAAAATGTAGAATAACATTTTTTTCGATTTCGTGAGAAACAACTTCGAATACTTGTTTAAGATTTCATTCTACGTTTTCAAATTATCTTCTTCGTATAGAATCATTTCCTCCTCGACTTCACCTCCAATTATGAGATATCCTGTATAACTATTTGTGCTAACAATATTGATTGATTTACATAATAATATTATATCATTTTATCGATCGATAAAACGAAGTACTTTAATATAGTACTAATAATTTAAATTACCAGACGGAGTAACTGAGTTTCATGGTCGTAAATGTATAGCTCGCTAGTTCTATGCACAATTCAGTATTCTGCATTTGAAGAAGAATCGCTGTCAATTTATCGGTTTTCTCACACGCATTTGACCCGTGTCCCGCGGGAAACTCCTCCTAGTCAATACTGTTATATAAACGGAGAGAAAAAAAAAAGAGTATTTGTGATACTCAGTGACTCGCACTATCCGCTAGGATTGACCTTTTCTATTGCGATTAAGCAAGACTGTACCTAGTCAGGTGCATCAAGAATAGGAGAGAAATTGATTTTTGCACTATACTCATTAATTGTAATATAAATTAGTCGTACCATCTCGTAGTTCTCATCTGAAAATATATTAGACACGTATTATTGCAGAATAGAGAAAGAAAGAGGGTAGATATTTTTTTATTATTTTCAGATTGGACGCATTCACTATTTTTTAATACAACAATTTTATTTAACATATTATTATCTCTTCTGTAATATAAATATGACGTAATTTTTAATATAATAGTACATACGCACACTCAATTTTGCCCTTCGATATATGTGATTTCGTTAAAATAGTAGATAGCTTGTTGTTTGTTAATACACGACGTAGACTAGCCTTAAGAGAAAAATGGTCTGGAACACATTGAAACGTGCCAAAATTTCAAGTCAATTAATAATAAATGTTACTGGCTTTGTCAGAAACAGATTGCTACCGATTTGTTTCCTTTCAAGATCTACATATCATGTTTAACAGCGTTTTAAGCATATATATATATATTCCACTTTTTATGAGAACACTCCCGAAATTCGCGGATCTCTTTAATCAAAAATTAAAAAATTAATCTTGTACAAGCGCTATTTTAAAGGACGGCGCGTATTGTATTGCGTGTTCTTTTTTTATAATTTATCTAAATTTGAACAAGCAAGTAATTGATTCCTGTCAAGATTTTAAGTTGTATTTACAGTTCTCGTCGCATTTAGATTTAAATTTATGACATCTCTTCGCTTCAGCAGTTTTCATTTTTCATCAATTTAAATTGATGAATAAACAGAAACTTCAATAAACAGAAACATAATCAATACATTGATTTCAACCGAGTACATGTTAACAACAGCATGTAACAT